TTTCTGTATCACTCAATATTTTTCCCATAGACACCCTCAGTATTGCCCAGCAAGACTGGACTATTTTTCTTTAGTTCTTTCAGATTAAGAGCTGCTGAGTATGTTCTTCCCTTTGGGCTTCCTAACTACAGGTCTTTGCACATTTCTTTGTTATACGCTTTTTGTCTTCTTGAACTGCCCTGTGATTTCTTTTGTTCAGCTCTTTTAACTCCTCATTTATTCCATTCAATGTAGCGTCTCTACACTCAAGAGCAAGTTTCAGAGCCTCTTCTGACTCCATTTTTGTCTTTGTTTTTTTTTTTTCTTTCCTGTCTTTTTAATGGCGCTTTGCTTTCTTCTGGTATGATGTTCTTGATGTCATCCCACAACTTTTCAGGTCTTCATTCATTAGTGTCTAATGCATCAAGTCTGCTTTTAAGATGGTCTCTAAGTTTAGGTGGAATATATTCAAGGTCAACTTTTGACTCTCGTGGACTTATTTTCAGTATGAACTTGCATATGAACAATTGATGATCTGTTCCACAGTCTGCCTCTGGTCATGTTTTGGCTGATGATATTGAGCTTCTCCACTGTCTCTTCCCACAGATGTAGTCAGTTTGTTTCCTGTGTATTCCATCTAGTGAGGTCCATATGTTGTTCACAAAAGGTATTTGCAATTAAGACGTCATAGGTCTTGCAAAATTCTATCATGTGATCTCCAGCACTGTTTCTATCACCAAGGTCAAATTGGATTCTGTGTTTGTTTTCCACTTTCACATTTCAATCACCAGTAATTATCTTGATTCTATGTTTGATCAATTCAAACAGAAGAAGTTGGTAGAATTCTTCAATTTCATCATCTCTGGCTTTCGAGGTTGGTTCATAAATTTGAATAAGAGTGGTATTAACTGGTCTTCCTTATTTGTTGTTGTTGTTAGGGCCATCAAGTCAGTACCAACCCATAGCAACGTTATGCACAGAACGAAACACTGCCCAATCCTGGGCCAACCTCACTACTGTGGCCACGCTTGAGTCCATCGATGTTGCCACTTGGCCGATCCATCTCATTGGGGGTCTTTCTCTTTTTCTCTGACCCTTCACCTTACCAAACATGATATCCTTCTCCAGCAACTGGTCCCTCCTGACAATATGTCCTAAGTATGAGAGATGAAGTTTGGCCATCTTGGCCTCCAGGGAGCACTCTGGCTGCACTTCTTCCAAAAGGGATCTATTGGTTCTTTTGGCAGCCCATGGCACTTTCAATATTCTCCTTATAGGTGTATGGATATTATCCTATCACAGACAGCTTTGTACTTCAAGATAGATGTAGAAATGTTCTTTTTGAATGATGAATGCAACACCACTCCTCTTGAATTTATCATTCCTGGAATAGTTAGCCATATGATTGTCTAATTCAGAAGATCCAATATCAGTCAGTAGCAGTTCACTTATGCCTAGGATATCAATGTTTATGTGTTTCATTCCATTTTTGACAACTTAACAATTTTCCCAGATTCATACTTCATACATTGCATGCTCCAATTATTATTGGATATTTGAAGCTATTTCTCCTCATTTTAAGTGTGCCCCATAAGCAAATGAAGGTCCCAAAACCTTTGTCCATTCATGTCATGGTCAACTCTACTTTAGGGAGGTAGTTCTTTCCCTGTCATATTTTGAGTGTCTTCCAACCTGAGGAGTTCATCTTCCAGCACTATATCTGACCATGTGCTGCTGCTATTTACAATGTTCTCATCTTCTGGTTTTATATCTGATAAGGTTCTGCTTGTCAGATATAATACCAGAAGTATTATATATAAATAAGTTTTCAGCATCACAACAACACGCAAGCAAACACAGTCTAACAACCTGACAGATGAGTTGTTCTAATACACCCTTTAAGTGTGTTGAAGAAGGAATAAAATTACATATTTACATTCATCTGTGTTTATATAAGCACTAATTGGCTGGAAAAGAAAGGATAGCCTGATTTCCTGAAGAAGATATGTAAAGATGGAGTAGGGAGCAGGGAACCGTGGTAATGAGAGTTTTCATGAGGACCATGTTGCATCATTTTGGTTTTTAAACTACGTAAGTATGTTACCTATTCAAAAGATTAAATTTGGGGGTGGGGGAAATACCATAGCTGCTCACAGTATAGTGTTTCTGTAGCTAAACTGACCCCTCCTCTTCTCTCACTCTGTACCTAGAAGCCCTCAAGGGTCAGCCACTTTCCCATGTGGGACCACATAGCCAACTGCTTGGGAGTCTCTCATAGACTATTATTCCCCATCCTTCCACCTAGGGCCTCCTTTTTTTCTTCTCTCCTCCTGGGATACCCACCCACCCCTCCATGGGTACCATCACAGTGAGTCCTCCCTTCCTTGTGCCACTTCTACCACAATCATGACCCTCAGCACCTAGCCACGTAGCCATTTACTACATTGGAGCCCCTGTGAGCTCCTGGAGTGTGGCAGTCCATCCATGAGTGGACTGTGTCTCATTTTTCTTTTATCCACAGCCCTGAGCTCTATACCATCAGGACTGAATAAGAGTCCCACTGTGAAGGATGTTCTACCCTCATCCCTTTCCCAACCATCTTCAGGAAAGTATGCAGATGAGACTTAGAGGGGACTGTCGGGTGGATCTAGGGAAACCCCTCTGAAAGGCCTTCACCCCTCTTTCTGCCTGAGCCCCAGACACAGGGCTAGCAGAAGCACTGTTTGGGATCATGAAGCACTGTTTGGGATCTCACCCATGGGGCGGGGGAGAGTAGGATAAACTTTTATGTCCTTGACCACCGAGTCCCCATGTGAGGAGGTCATATCCCAGAGCAGAGCTGTTACATCATTGAAACACTGCAGCCTACTCCCCAGGGCCATCAGACTCTGGGTCCCTAGCCCAACATTGCCCAGCATGGTCCAGGGTACCCTGATGGCCACTCCATTTTCCTCATTGCCTTTCCTGTCCTCTGGGAAGGTCCCTAGACCCACCACATTTCTTGTGCCTCACACATTTGCTGATGTCTACTTGACATAGATGGATTCCTAGTGTGGCACTGTAGGATAAATATTAGGCTGAAAGTTCATTTGAATTGCAAACTCACTGGCTGCTCTTCGGAAACCCTATACAAAGTCACTATGAGTTGGAACCAACTCAATGGCACTTAACAACAACACGTGGCATAGGGCTCCTGTCGTTCGCTGAGATCCTACTATGATGGCCCAGGGTGGGGCTAGGGGCTGGAGGGCTGAGTGAATGATCAAGGTCCAGTCACACCTCTCTCCCCCTACCTCAACCTCATCAATTTCCCTATGTCCTTCCTCCCTCCTGGCCCCCGACACAGCCCCAACAGCCAACCAGCCTCATAGTCCAAAAGCAGTGCCCATATCTGAAGCTCCTTATGGGCCTGAGAATCTGTTCTTCCCTGTCTGTGGATTTCTGCAGGTGATAGTTCCAAAGCCACCTCCAGCTTCTCATTGATCAAGGAGCCACATCACTGTAGCCCTGGCACCAGACACTAGAATTCTGAGAGGCAATCTGACCAGGCCAGATACCCCATGTGTCCATCATGTCTTATATTGTGTCCCCATAGCTGACACGTCACCTCTCCTGTGACTCCCACAAATCACTCACCACATGTCATACCCCATGATCCACTGGGCTAGAATCCAGACCTTACCCCAACTCCAAGTCACATAGTAGAACACTGGGTGTCACAACTTTATTGAGATTGGAGGGGATGAAGGGGACATGCCATGTGATCACACTGGTCTGAGAGCTGGCATCAGCTAGTGTTCCTGCAGCTCCCAACGTCCCATGATGAGGGACAAGTCCAATGGAGTCTCCATCCTGACCTTCATTCCCGCCGGGCCTCCAGGCGGTCCAGCACCAGTGCAGCCTGGGTCTGGGCGTCCTGCAGGAGGCTGGAGACTTGCTGACGGATCTGACAAATCATAGACAGTCACACCCTGTCCAACAGAGCTGCTGCCCACAGATGGTCTCCTGCCTCCTCTGTCCCATGTTCCAGTCCATGTTTTCACTCCCTATGCTCCTCCTGGCCATGCATCCCCTTCCTGTCCATCTGTGGTGGTCAGGGTCATCCTGACCCAGAGTCATACTGACTCAGGGATCCTGGCTCCTCCAGGGCCTCTTGGCATGCTGAGAAGAACTCCCTCAGTACTGTGTTTTGACAGGGAGCCAGACCCAAGACCCCTTGGCAGCCTTGGACTTTCCACCACCTTCCCAGGCCTCCTTCTTTCATCACAGCTGCCCAGGGCCAGGTCCAGCTGTTCCCAAAGGCCCAGAGTAGGGGTACTCCTGGAAGCCTGTCCATGAGTTCACTGACTAGATGGTGAGCAGCAGCAGTTAAGAGCTGTGGAGACCCCAGCCTGAAAGACCATGATATCCCCACACAGGATCCATGTAAAAACAGTGAACCGTGACCTTACTTTATAAATTGTCACAAAGTCCACAGGGACAGATAGCATATAGGGACTGCCAGGAATTGGAAGTTGGAGTAACTGCAGCTCATTGAAGGCATGGAGAGGGCAGTGACAAGCCCAGGTACTCTGACCCTGTACTCCTCAGTCCTTCCCAGTTGGACAGGTCTAAAAGCAAGAGAATGCCAGACATCCCAACCACCCTGTCCCACAGAAAACCCCTAAGGGAGGGCAACAACAGTACCCGGATACCTGTTGACAGCACAGGAGGTCCAGCCAAATGAGCTATAGGACAGGCCAGAGAGAGTGCTAAGACACTGGACACAGTAGCCCTGCTGAGCACTGAGCTCTGGTTTCATGTATGTGAGGCTGATCCTGCATCTGGGCCTGTCCCACCTCCTGCTCACCTGGTCCGTGAAGTCATCATCGGTGATGTCCTTCAGGTTGGTGAGCACGTTAAAGTAGGCTCCAAACACACCTGTTTCCAATGCCTTGGCTGCCACCTGCCACGAAAACCAGGGGGAGTCCAGGAGGAAAGGCTGTGAGGCTAGGGGGCAGGAACAGGGAGGAGAGGAGGGTCCTGGAGAAGAGGCTGTGAGGTCAGGGAGACAGGATGGGTTGTTGGGGGGTGGGGGGGGTGAGGAGCCAGGGTAGAGAAGGAGAACAGAGAGGTGGTGGAAATGGGGAGACTGAGAGGAGGGAGCTAGAGAGAGAGGAAGTAGAGGGCTGGGAAGGGGGTCAGAGGGAGACAGGGAGGAAGAGAAGGAAGGAGAGGTGAGAGGGAAAGGTGGCTAGGGAGGAGGGAAGTTGACTGAGCTGTTCCATTTAGTGCTTGTCTCAGGACCTAGCTTGGAGTTCAGGTCCAATTTAAGGATTGCTGTCGCTGATGGCCCTTGACTCCTCCTCTGCTGCCTCACCTACACCTGAGAGCTGATCATAGGAGGCCAGACCCTCATACCTGCAGGTCTGACCGGCAGGCCAGATTCCCACACAGAGCCAGCTCCTGCAGTACTGGCCATAAAGAGGCCACCTTCTCTGCCAGAGACAGAGGCACGGCCACTGCCTGCTTCAGTCCATCCTGCATAGCAGCTTCACGTCTGGAACCAGAGGAGGGCACCATGGAAGTCACATTTGGGCTCCTAAGAGCCTGGACTCAAGCTGGGGCCAGGGGTGGATTTGAGGCACTCAGATCCCCTAAACATCAGGAGCAAACAGAACCAGGATGGGGACAGGGGAAAACCTGTCTCTAATTGCCACCACTCATACTGCATCCCTAGGGTCTCTGTGGGCCTTGGTGGGCCACCCCACCATCCCTGCTGTACACACCTGTCCCTTTCCTCAGGCGTGTTCTTGGGCAGTTTCAGTGCTTCCTATGGAAAACAACCCCAGAGATGCACACAATGAGTGAATGTGAAGGAGGAGCCTGTCTGTGACCACATCTGTTCCCAAGGCCATGCCTGTCACCAGGATCACACCCCTACTCTGTGGCCACACCTGTCCCCATGACCACACCTAACCCCATGACCATGCCTGTCCCCTGTGACCACACCTGTCCCTGTGCCACACCTGCCCCTGAACCATGGTATGGAGTTGTCCCTCATGACCACCCTTGTCCCCTATGACCAGGTTTGTCCCCAGGCTCACGTCTCTCTCCTCTGTAAATTATTTAGACTAGACTTTCATTGTTGCTATTTGTCCCTCTCCCCCCCCACCACCACCGGAAACTGTGGGCATTCAGGGAGCACCCAGGCTGGCCTCTGACTGCAGCTGATGGGAGGGAGACTCTGCACCATAGCTGCTCCCTCCCACGCCACCCCTACCAATACTACAGCCTGTGAGCAGTGTGGTCATTCCTGGGCCAACCCCAATACCCACTGGCCTCTAGCTTTGCATCAGCAGGGAAAGAGGAGTAAGTGAAAGGGTTTGTCATGCTGATTGGCCTGGTCTCAAATATCTTCTAGACAATTCTAGTCTCCAAGCACCTGTTTTTCAGGCACCTCCCACCGCCCACCTCCAGCCTGCTCTAGGTTCGCTAAGATATGTTCTCTGAGAGCCTGACCCAGACCTTTCTCTCAGACACCCTTCCTACCCTTAGGCCGGTGTTTAAAGTCGCCTCTGGGGCTTCTGGAGCCTCTGGGACCTGGGCAGAGGAGGCCATAGCCAAGAGCACTCACCATGTAACCTGTGAAGGCCTGGGCATCGGTGTCCACCAGCGCAGTCAGCTGGGCTGAGGCTGCATGGAACGGAGGGATCAGGCGCCGCATCTCTGCATCCAAGTGCTCAAACTGGCGCCGCCCGTAAGTCATCAGTCCCACCATGGAAGCCAGCGCCGCGCCCTGGAGATGCAAGCTCACTGGACCCATGCTCAGTCCTTCCCGGGTATCCGGACCCCAGGAGGGACAGCGGAGAGGACCCAGCACAGGGGCATCGCTAAGCCTATGACTGAGATGTCCTATGGATCCTTCTGTGGTGCCCCCTCCCACTTCCCCTCATCCTTCATTCCTGCCCTTGGCGCTAAGGAGTCTTGAGGGAATGAGAACTCCGTCCCTTCCATCCCACAGTAGAATCCCTGAGCTCTGGGTCCCAGAAGCTCCCTTCCCACGGGCCCTGCACTCACCATAGCTGCAGCAGCCGCCGCCACTGAACCTCCTCCGGGGGCTGCCGAGCGTGCGCCCACCTCTCGGATGAAAGCGCCCAGGGACTTGTTTACCAGGCACTCCTCGGGCTGGCCGTCTGGGACCAGGTACCTATGTTTGGGCAGCAGCTCAGTGGAGGGGAGAGGGTTCTAGGGTCCTTGTACTGGAACGTCAGGGTCTGAGCTGGAGCCTGCCTGCGCCCCCTCCCACAGCTGCAGGTCAGAGACAGAGCTCTGAAAGAGCCACCCCACAAACTTCAGTGTCCCTATCTGGACAAGGTGGCTCTGTCATCCACCCAGTCCGCATAGGGCTCAGGGGGCATAAAGAAGGCAGATGGTGAGTTCCCTATCCAGACCTGGGACAACTTCTTAGAGTGAGACACAGAAACTTGGGCAGGTGTCTGGCCCCTGTCTTTGGGAGCTGTTCTCTAGGAGGGCCACTGCAGGAGCCATACTCCTTGTGGCTCAGCTCCCTCCCCCAAGACCTTAAAAACTCCCCTGTCAGTCATGAACACCTCCCTCCCTTGAGAGAGTAATTTGGTCACAAAATCTCCAGGATACTGTGACACTACCAGGCAGTGAGGACAAAGCAGGGGTCCCATCCTGTTCCCATACCACAGCCCTCACAAGCAAAGACATTGTCACTAGCTTGCAGAGCAGGCAGCATATTGAAGAGGTTGACCCTGAGACCAAGGCATGGACTTTGTGGAGAACTCACCCCTTCCATGCCTCCATTCCTAGTCTCAGACTCAGCACAAGGCCCTCTGATGTTCGTTGAATGAGTAAGTGACAAAACAAAAGGATCTGGAAGGACTAGAGCCACACAAGGCCCTGCCCCTTGCACCATACCCACTGGAACTTGAAAGGCACCAATGGCTTCCAGACAGGGTTGGGGAAGAACTCACTCAATGATCCGCTCCTTAGGATTAAAGGGAGACAGGGAGTCCAGGCCCAGCCGATTCACTACCTGGAAAAAAAGGCATAATGTGGATGAAATGACCCTCCTCGCCCATCTCCACGTTAGGAAGACCAACAACACAGACAAAGGGAAAGCCATGGAATATGTTGGAGATCCCTGAGGAGCTCACTGTGGTGTCTCTGCCCCCTGAGCCCAGGCTTTGTGTGGGAAGTAGGGCTGGGAGCATGGTTGGCACATACTCTGCTCCAACAAGTAGCCCTGTTGACTACTGACTCCACATCCAAGCTGGACCCCACCTGAGAGAGCAGGCCAAGCACAGAGCAAGCAGCCTGTACATACTTCCTGAGCCACCCACCTACGTGTTACACAATGAGGGAAATGAGGCCCAAAGAGAGGAGGTTTCTTGTTGTTGTTATGTGCCGTGGAGTCGGTTCCAACTCTGTACAGAGGCTGTAAATCTTTACGGGAGCAGAAAGCCTCATCTTTCTCCCGCAGAACAGTTGGTAGTTTCGAACTGCTGACCTTGTGGTTCGCAGCCCAATTCGTAACCACTATGTTACCAGAGCTCCTTAAAGAGAGGAGGTATCCACTGGGACAGACAATTAGTTCGTTAAGTGATTATGAGTGGAAAGACAGGAGGTATCCACTCATAATCACTTAACAAACTAATTGTTCCAAGTTGTGCCTCTTTCACCATTTCTCTTCAAACAGGACTGGAAGCACTAGCTGAAACAATTGGGTAATAAGAGAAGTAAAAGCATTTCAAATTGGAAAGGAAGAAAGAAGTAAAACTATATTCTATTCATGGATGGGAGGATCTTACATGTAGAAAACCTAAAAGAATATACACACACACACAAACTGCTAGAGCTAATAATGAATTCAGTCAAGTTCAGTGCACAAAATCAGCATGCAAAAAAACAAGTGTATTTCTATACACTGGCAACAAACAATCTGAGAAAAATTAATGGAATTGCAATTGCTTCAAAAATAATAAAATGCTAAAGATAAATTTAACCAAAAAGGCATAAGATTTGTATAAAAGACTTACACATTGAAAAGTATGTTTAAATCACTGAAAGACATTAAATAAAACTTAAATACACCTACTCCTCATTTATCAACTATCTTGTTACCCAACATTTCACATTTACAATAATAGTAAAAAAAAGTCCAACTATGTTGCACAACTATGATAACTATGCTGTCAACCAATATAATATATTTGACAGTAATGAATGCTGAGATACAAGGTAAACGTAATTCTGGCTGTGATGTTAAGGTTATGTGTCAATTTGGGTGGGCCATGATTCTCTGAGGTTTGGAATTTATGTAATGATGTTATTTGGCAATAATATAATGATGTAATTTGGCAATTATGTAATGATGCAGTCATCCTCCATTTCGTGATCTGATATGGTCATCCTCGATTTTCACATAATGTCAATTTTCACATAATAATCTGATCTTTGGAACCTAACCATGACAGTTGAAAGAAGATGTAATGGAAAGGCATTTATGTTCTTGGACTAGACAACTTAATATTGTTGAGAAGACAATACTGCCCAAAGCAATCTATATATTCAATGCAACCCTATCAAACTTCCAAAGGCAAAATTTGAATGGAAGAACACATTCTAAGATTCATACAGAATTTACAAGGACCCAAAACATCCAAAATAATATTTGAAAAGAACAAATTTGGAGGACTCACACTTTTTTATTTCAGTGCTTATTACATAGCTACAAAGTTTTGTACTTAGTACAAAAACCGGCATGAAGATGGACATATTAACCAATGGAATTGACAACCCAGAAATAAGCCTTCACATCTACAGGCAATTGATTTCAACAAGAGTGCCAAGAGCATTCATGGAGTAAAAAAGAATCTCTTCAACAAATGTTTCTGGGAAAACTGGATATTCACATGCAAAAGAAGGAAATGGGCCTCTACTTCATGCTTAATGTCAATTAACTAAAAATCGTTTAAAGACCTAAATTTAAAAGCTAAAATTATAAAATTCTTAGAAGAAAACATAGGGATAAATCTTCATGACCTGAAATTTAGCAATTGTTTCTAAAATATGACACTAAAAGCAGAAGCAACAAAGAAAAAATGAATACATTGGACTTATAAAAATAAAAAACTGCTATACATCAATGAGTACATACAATCAAAAAAGTAAAATGGCAATTTACAAAAGGGGAGAAAAGATTTGCAAATCACGTATGGGATTGTTATTGTTGTTAAGTGCCATCAAGTCATTGCTAATTCATAGTCAGCCAGTATAGCGTTTCCGAAGAGCAGCTGGTGAGTTTCAAACCGACCTTGTGATACTGTGCTTATCCTACAGCGCCACAGTAGGACTTCATGTATCTGATAAGGAAAAACAACTCAAATAAAAAATGGGTAAAAGACTTTCAGCAAGATGCACTTCACAGACCCTCTACAACAAAGATTTGTTATTGCTAGGTGCTATCAAGTTGGTACTGACTCCTAGTGACCCTCTGCGCAACAGAGCAAAACACTGCCTGCTCTGATGTGTCAATCTCACAATCCGTGATATGCAAGAGCCCATTGCTGCTGCACTGTGCCAATCCATGTGACGGGGGGGAGTCTTCCTCTTTTTCTCTGACCCTCTACTTTACCAAGGATGATGCACTTCTCCAGAGACTGGTCCCTCCTGATAATAAGTCCAAAGTATAAAAGACAAAGTCTGGTCATCCTGACCTCTAAGAAACATTCTGGGAGTGCTTCTTCCAATATAGGTCTGTGTGTTCTTTTGGCAGTCCATGGTACTTTTAATCTTCTCCTCCAACACCATAACTCAAATTCACCACTTCTATGGTCTTCCTTTTTCATTGTCCAAATTTCACATGCATATGAGGCAATTGCAAATGCCGTGGCTTAAGCCAGGTGTACCCTAGTCCTCAAACTGCTATCTTTGCTCTTGAATACGCTAAAGAGGTTTTGTACAGCAGATTTGCCTATTGTAATATGTCCTTTGATTTCCCAACTGCTGCTTCCATGAATGTTGATGGTTGAAGTCTTTTCACAACTTTAATCTTTTCTCCATTTATCCTATTGATATTCATTGGCCCAGTGAAGATTTTTTTTTTCTTTACACTGAGGCACAACCCATACTGAAGGCTGTGGTCTTTGATCTTCACCAGTAAGTATTTTAACTCTTCTTTGCTTTCAGCAAGGAAGGTTGTGTCATCTGCATATCATGTGTTGTTCATGAGTCTTCCTCAAAACCTGTTGTCCATAGCTTGTCATGATCCACACAATCAAAAGCCTTTACATATTCAACAATCCCTCTACTTGATATATATCCTCAAGAACTAAAAAGCCTTAACACGAATAGATGTATGCACACCCATGTTCATTGCAGCATTATTAGCAATATCAAAAAGAAAAGCAATAGAAAGTATCAACAAGACAAGACGTTGGTTCTTTGAAAGGATTAATAAAATTGACAATTCACTGAAAAATTAACAGGAGAAAAGGAGAAGATGCAAAGGTGACATCACAACAGAACCAATGGAAAAATAAAGGATAACAGAATATTACGAAGAATTATGGATGCTAGTGTGGCACTGTATGATTTGCCCTGAACTGCTAACCACAAGATCAGCAGTTCAAACTCGCCAGCCACTCCTCAGAAACCCAATGTTGTTGTTGTTGTCAGGTGCCATCGAGTCAGAACCGACTCATAGCAACCCCAAGCACAGCAGAACGAAACAATGTCCGATCCTAGGCCAACATCACTACTGCTGCCACACTTGAGTCCATCAATGTTGCCACCTGGCCAATGCATCTCTTTGGGGTCTTCCTCTTTTTCTCTGACCCTCCATCTTACCAAGCATGACATCCTTCTCCAGCGACTTGTTCCCTCCTGACAATATGTCCAAAGTATGAGAGACGAAGTTTAGCCATCTTGGCCTCTAAGGAACACTCTGGCTGCACTTCTTCCAAAACAGATCTATTGGTTCTTTTGGCAGCCCATGGCACTTTTAGTATTCTCCTCCAACACCACAATTCAAAGTCATCAATGCTTCTATGATCTTCCTTATTCACTGTCCAGCTTTCGCATCCATATGAGGCTATTGAAAATACCATGGCTTGGGTCAGGCGCACTTTAGTCCTCAAGCTGACATCTTTGCTCTTCAACACTTTAAAAAGTTCCTGTGCAACAGATTTGCCTAATGCAATACGTCGTCTGATCTCTTGACTGCTGCTTCTGCGAATGTTGATAGTTGATCCAAGAAGAATGAAGTCCTTGACAACTTCAATCTTTTCTCTGTTGATAAGAATGTTGTTTATTGGTCCAGTGGTGAGGATTTTTGTTTTCTTGACATTGAGATGTAATCCAACTGAAGGCTGTGCTCTTTGATCTTCATCAGTAAATGTTTTGAGTCCTCTTCACTTTCAGCAAGCAAGATTGTATCATCTGCATATCTCAGGTTGTTAATGAGTCTTCCTCCAATCCTGATGCCACATTTTTCTTCATAGAACCCAGCTTCTCATATTATTTGCTCAGCACACAGGTTGAATAAGTATGGTGAAGAACACAACCTTGTCACACACCTCTCATCTGTCTGTAGTGCTGTGGTGGCTTGAGTTACTGTGATTCTGAGGGCTATGCCACTGGTATTTTAAATAATCAGCAGGGTCACTCATGGTGGACAGGTTTCAGATGAGCTTCCAGACAAAGACAGAGTAGGAAGAAAGAGTGATGAACTATCTCCGAATCGCTAGTCACTGAAAGCCTTATGAATAGCAGAAACCCTATATAGGGTCACTATCAGTTGGAACTGACTTAATGGCACTTAACAACAAACAGCATGAAGACCTTAACTCCAACAAATTTCTGAAAATACACTACCTATCTAAACTGACACAGACTGAAGAAGTAAAGTTAAACAGATCTATAACAAAAGAAAAAATAGATCAAGTTATTTTAAAACTCCCAACAGCAACAAGAAAATCCTGGCCACGACAGCTTTACTGGTGAATTCTACCAAATATTAAGAGAAGAACTGAAATCAATTCTACTCAAACTATTCCAAAACAGAAAAAGATGGGAAACTCCTGAATTCATTTTATGAATCAAGCAAAGCTTTGATACCAAAATTAGGCAAAGATATCACCAAAAAAGAGAATTACAAATCAATATCTCTCATGAAGGAGTCTTGATGTGGCGCTGTAGGATAAAGCACTAGACTGCAAGGTCAACTTGAACCATAAGATCAGGAGTTCAAACCCACCAGTTGCTCCTCAGAAACCCAATACAGGGTTGCCATGTGTTGGAACTGAACTGACAGCACTTGACAACAACAATAATCTCTCATGAAAAGGAAACCTGGTAGCGTAGTGAATTATGATCTGGGCTGCTAACTGCAATGTCAGCAGTTCGAAGCTACCAGACAAGGATTTCTGTTCCAGTAAACAATTACAGCCTGAAAAAGCTTATACAAGGTTGTTTTGAGTCAGAGCCTACTCCATGGCACATAACCGCCACCCACCAACATGTCTCACGAACATAGGTACAACAATTCTCCGTCAAATCCTAGCCAAAAGAATCCAACAACGTATCAAAATATAACAAATCATAATCAAGCTGATTGATATCAGGAATGCAAGGATGATTCAATATTAGAAAAACAATCAACGTAATCTACCACATAAATAAAACAAAGGAAAAGAACCACATGATCTCATACATTGCTATAGAAAAGGCATTTGAAAAAATCCAACACCCATTCTTGATAAAAACACACAAGGAAGATAGGAATTGAAGATAACTCTATGGGTAGGTACATGGACAGACCTAAACTAATGGATGTGGGAAGGAGAGTGGAGTATACCCACAAATAAATGCAGGTTTGACAGAGGATATTTGTACACGGGTATTTACCTTTGCCGCAAACATATACATGAATATGATGGAGCATGGGTGTGCTATGGAGTTGGTTCTGACTCACAGCAACTTTGTACAGGGTTCCGAGGCTGTAGATATTTACCAGAGCAGAAATCCTCATCTTTCTCCTGCAAAGTAGCTGATAGATTTGAACTGCTGACCTTGTGTTTAACAGTCCAATTCGTAACCCACTACAGAGCTCCGTCATGATGTTGTTGCTGTTGTTAAGTGCCATCAAGTCAGTTCCAACCCATAGTGACCCTTTATAGGGTTTCCAAGGAGCAGCTGATGAGTTTGAACTGCCAACCTTGCAGTTAGAACTGACCTTGCCGTCAAGTGCTTATCTTAAGCACCACGCCATAATATGGCATACAGGAGATAAAATTATGAAAAGCTCTTAGACATTAACAAATACCTTGAAGGAATGATTTGCTGGGCCTGGGAGCTCAGATCCGTAGTTTCATGGGACAACATTGTCAAGGGTCATACTATAGTCCACAAACGTAGTGCTCTATATCCTTCTTTGTAAGTAGCAAATGGGATCATAAAAGCACACGAGCGGATGTGGATAGGACTCTTTTGATTCAATAGTGAGCAATTGGTATCGTGACTAATTGTGATTGTCACAACTATAAAGGTAAAATTTTGTAACATAAAGGGGGAAGTAGTTAATATGACATTTCAGGAACAGAGGACCCTAGGACCATCAAGGGAGAAGAGCATGAGCGGCATATGGCACCCTAACCAGAGAAGCAACAACACCAGAGATAGAAGCAGAGGTGAGGACATGGAGAGATAGAGCAGCTGAGGACTCTAGATTCATGGAAAGAGAAAGGCTGTGTGCTGCTGGCCAGGAGGCAAGCTTGCAGAATGTGCCCTTTGGTTATTTAAATAATTATATATTTCTGAGTGTTTTTTGTGCATATCCCAAAAAAAAAAAAAAAACCAGAGGGAATCGAAGCACTGTTAAATGATGATGCATGGAGGGGATTGTAATCATTGCAATGAAACAAAATACGATAGGATGAGTACAAAACCAATGTTCTCCCATGTAAACTATCACTCAATTTGCAATAAAAACTTTAATTAAAACCAAAAAAAGCTCATGAGTGACCCTCTAGGTGCAAATATATTGGTCTCTCTCTGTGTAGAAGAAAGAATGACAATGAAAATTGAAGATTCTTGGAAACAGTTAGTCCAATGGCTTAATGGACCACATGAACATAAGTGTCCATGACCCTGAGACCAGAACTTCAGCTACCACTACCAACTGCTCTGAAAGGGATCACATGAAAAGGCCCAGGATACAGTGAGTTAAAATGTAAAACAAAACTCAAAATTATTTTTTAAAACTTTTAGAAGACCAGGTTTGTTGGTCAGAAAATCACTGGAGGAACCCTGAGATGGTCCTTGGTCTGGAACGAAACTTGCCCTCATGACTTAATTTTCAGTAAAGCAATAGATAGATAGGTACATAGGGGAGACAACAACACTTATGAGATATGCACATCATAGAAGGGTCAATCGACTGAAATCAAAAGGTAAACTTTTACCTATGAATAAAATTCAGAAGGATTGGGAAAGAAAGAGGAATGGAAACAAGAATTGCAGGGGGAAGTGGGATACGTGATGTTGCATGGAGGTGATTGTAATCATTGAAATGAAACAACATATATGATTTGTTGAATTAAAACTGATGATCTGCTCTGCATACCGTCACTCAATTCACAATAAAAGTCTTTTAAAAAATAATAATCACAAAACACAAGTCACCATGAGAATCATCTCATTGAGAGTTTTCCTTGTTTATGCTCACCCTCTACTTTCCCAAATACGGTGGGTCAACAGCACTAGTAAGATATGCTTTGAGGCAACATTTACCTAAGGACAAAGTTGAGAAGGGATGGGAAAGGGTAGAATGGAACTGTTGTTACATGGAGGGAATAGAAACTCACATGTGGGTGTTTCCAGACCAAAGACCTCCCTAGGGGAACATCAAACTTGTTCACACAGTTCCATCAGACCCATTGGCCCACTCTGGGTCCCTTCCCACCCCCTTCATTCTGGGAGCCCAGCCCACCAGCCTAATTCTGTGCTCCTCCTCCAGGATGAAGAGGTTCTCCTTCTTGCAGTAGAAGGCTGCAGCATCCAGGATGGCCTTCAGAGGCACCAGGCCCACTAGCTGAGAACCTACAACTGGAAGATTCAGCTCCTGTGGAGGTGAAAGTAAGTCAGGTCCACACTGATGCTCCTGAGGTCAGGCAGGAGGATTCTTTCCTGCTCACCTGATGAATTCCACCCCCACACTACCCTTCAACCCAGCTAGCTAGAAGCACCTGTCCTGCTCACATCCTTTCCAGCTTGGAAAAGCTTTGTATCATGAGACATTTAACCATCCCACTGTGTTGGAAGGTTCAGGTTTAGGGACTCCAAGTCTCATGACAGGCAATGAAGGGCAGGTACATGTTCTTACCCACACTTATAACACGTGTGATCTTGAGCAAGTCCCCTCACCTCCCTGTGTCTCAGTCTCCTCATCTGTACCATGGGGCTGGCAGGGTGTCCCACTCTGCTCACCCTCCCTTACCAGCAGGGCTACCCTGCCCTGCTTACCTGTGCTTCTCTGCAGGTCTCCTCATAGACAGTGTGCAGCGCTGTGACCTCAAAGTCCAGGAGATTTGTGGACACCTGAGCCAGGTTCTTCTCATCCAGGTACCAGCCAATGCCCTGAACCTTTTTCAGTCGTCCTGGCTGCCAAAGTAAGAAGCCATCCCCATAACAGACTAAGGAAGTTTATCCTGTCCTGTCTTGCCCTGACTCCCTTAATGCCTGAATTTGAACCCCACTCGACCTGTGTCCTCCCATCCTGCACAGCCAAGGGTGGATATGGAAAGTCTTTGGGTCTTAGGAAGGAGGGAGTTGATGGAAAGGTTTCCAGTTACCCTCTAACTTTTTTTTACCAGATGTCTATAAGTCTACCTGTGTCTGACCAGTACTTCCTGATGCTCAAACTAAGTGACAACAGTGTGGCAGACTTGATGAGATATATGGCATGCCTGGGGATGTTTGGGGACACGGATTAGAACCGACTCGATGATACTTCACAACAACAACAAAAGGGAACCTAAGGAGTCCTGGTGTGGTACTGTGGGTTAATGTTCCAGACCGCAAAGCCGTTTGAACTGAAAGGTCAGCGATTCAAGCTCACCAGCTGCTCCTCGGAAACCCTATGCAGGATCGCTATGGACCGGGATTAACTTGACAACACTTAACAACAACAACAACAAAGGGTACCTAGGAATACCTGGGTGTATCTGGGATTACTGGGAATACCTGGGACTTAAAAAGCAACTGCTTTCCCATGAGTATGGAATTACTACAATATTTTAACAGGTACAACCCTGCTTCTGTGTAAAATGTTCTTTGAAACAAGCTGTCTTCAACTAAGGCCACTCAAAGCCCCAAGCCTGCCCTGTCCCATGTGTCATGAAGACTGAAATGGAGTTTGTCTGGTCATCAGCTGTCAGAGGCTGAGCCACTGGGGAACACTGTCCAGGCCAGCTACCCTGCTGTATCACTCTCTGTGGCTCTCTGAGGTGGCCTCTGCCTCTGACCTTCCCAAGCACCACTCCAGGGGTCAGTGGGGACTGACCTGGTCCTTCCCACGGCCTTGCTCCCGCAAGTTGAGGGCAATGCGGTGTGCCTGCTCCTTGGTGCTAAGCAGGTTGATGTTGAAGGCAATGAGGAACTTCCGGGCCCCAGTGACAGTGGCCCCCCAGCTAGGAATAAAGGTGCTGGGACCAAAGTCGGGGGCCCATTCAGCCTTCTTGATCTGTGGAAGGATTCACCTGAAGTGAGCTCTCCTCCACAGAAGGAGGGCGGCCCCTGGTTAGGGAGGAAGGGACAGGGCCCACTCACCCCACTGGAGATGAGGGTAAGGTCCCTTCCCCCAGACCTGCCTGCCACAGGGTCATCGCACCTTCTCAGGGAGGGCCTCATATTCCCCAGCCCTAATGGCTGGCAGTGTCCGGCGACTGGCCATCGTTGCCGCCTCCCCATATAGGTACACTGCAAGAGAAGTGCCGGTCAGGCCTGGTCAGCAGGAGGCCAAATCCCTGATCCTGGAGGAGAACCCAGGCAGTGTTGCTCCCTCCCACCTCCCTGAAGAACCATCCCAGCTCCCCATCCTCTGCCCCCCTCCACCAAGAGATGGGGTTTCCTCACTCCCCGTTCCCAGCTTGGCTCCCCCTGCACAGGGGCCCTGGTACAGCTTCACTGCAATCACGGGAGTTACTACTGGGCATGTTGGAAGTGTTGATGAAAGGAATGTCACGTTTCTTTATAAAGGTGTATTTTCATTGTATGATCAAGATAACCACAAATTAAGGAACATACAGAAAACAAAAATCTCCATCAACTTCCACTCCCTGCAGCATCACTATGTTGTTGTTATGTGCCATGGAGTCGGTTCCAACTCATAGCGACCCTGTACAGGGTTTCCAAGGCTGTAAATCTTTACGGGAGCAGAAAGCCTCATTTTTCTCCCGCAGAACAGCTGGTAGTTTTGAACTGCTGACCGTGAGATTAGCAGCCTGATTCGTAACCACTACACTACAGCATCACTATAACTATCCTAATATGGTCTTGGCACCTGAGTTTTTACATCCAGAGGTTGTGCCACGATCCACCTGGCCATCTCCCAATTGCTTGGGACCATGTTCTTAATTTGGGTTATTTTGTTGTTAATTGTCACCAAGTCAGCTTCAACTCATGATGAAATGATGTCTAACAGGATGAAACATTGCCTGATGCTGTGTCATCTTAACGTCACTCCATCTCATTGAGTGTTTTCCTCATTCTTGCTTACTCTTTACTTTACCAAACGTGGTGTCCTGTTTCTAGCAATCTGTCTTTCCAGATGTCCAATGTAAGGATTATTGTGCTCACTTCTAAGAAAGGTGGTGGTTGTGTTTCTTCTAATACTGATTTGTTCCTTCTTATAAGTGATCTCATTAGAAGACATGTCTTGAGTATGAGTGCTCTCTTGTGTCCCTGGCAGATGGGAGGTGATACATCTTCCATTTTTGCTTGTTTCTTTAGTGAAAAAGCAGCAAGGTTCCTGGGTGTCAGTTTGCTGGCTGAGCTTTGTTTTGTAGTAACCTCCATTTTCAAGAGACTGGTGAAGGGGTTACGTATTGGGCTGCTAACCACAAGGTCAGCAGTTTGAACCCACTAGTGTGCTCCACAGCAGAAAGACAAGGCTTTCTACTCCCATAAAGTTTTACAGCCTTGGAAATTCTACACAGGGTCACTATACGTCAGAACCATCCTAACAATACACCACCACTGCCTTGAGGTAGCTGCTGATGGAAGTAACCAACATGATGTGAGGATGAACTAGCTAAAGCCCCTAAGGGCCATCCTGGGGACACTCACCGGGCACACCCAGTTCTTCTGCCAGACGCTGGCCAAAGGCCTGAGCACACAGCACACACTCTTCCATGCTGACATCCCTGACTGGGATGAAGGGGCAGACATCCAAAGCACCCATCCTAGGGTGTTCCCCTGCAGAGATGGGAAAAGACTGAAGGCAGGGACCAGGGCAAAGGTCCAGTGTGGGAGGGGTATCAACAAGACCACCATCCTACCCACTCAGCTGAGCTTGCTCAGACCCTTGCTGCTCTCTGGCCCTCCAAACACACACCCCTCTTGTTTATGTTGACCAGCCACTTGCAAGGGACAGCTGTTCCTACCAGGGTGAACTTCAGAGACACAAAGGCATCTCTAGTGAATAGCCATGGACATCCTTCCTAGCCAGCATGAGGGAGGCTGCACAGGACCCCAGGGAAGAAACCGCAAAGCCTGATATTTTTATTCATTTTCAATAAGCCCCTCCCTCCTGGTGACTCAATGGGTTAAATGTTGGGCTACTAATCACAAAGTCCATAGTTCAAACTCACCAGCTGTGCTGAACTAGAAAGATGAGGCTGTCCACGCCCATAAATATTTATAGTTCTGTCCTATAGAGTCACTATGAGTTGGAATTGTGACAGCGGTTCTTCCAATCCTAAAAGTTGCACAGCGACTCTCCAGGAATGCACAACTCAATTTTCAGAGTCCAGGTCAAGCTGAAAGTGCTGACCTCGGTGGTCTCCAGCCACCTCAGCCCCCATCCCCACCAGTGCCACTGCTGGTGCCTGGGGGTCCATGCTGGGCTTGGGAACAGGTTGTTCTGGTGGAACGAAGCCATCATCATCCTCCTTCACCCCACAAACTTTGTACACCCTAAACTCATTCCTGCTTGGCCTTCCAGCCAAATAACTGGCTACTTTTATTTCAATAAGCCTCTTACCTGCCCCCAAGCTTGGGGTCAAATGTGAATCCCCTCCACATGCAACTACCCAACCCCAAGACCCTGACTTTTTGACTGGCTCCCCTGTGTCTTCTGACCTTTGTCCCCACCCTCCCCTGGCACTGACGTGTTTGGATCTGAGGGCTAGCTGGTGTTAGACTGCCTTCCCCCAGGCAAAGCTTCATCTTCTGCCCCTGACTACCTCACTCTGGGCCTGGCCCAGAGCCTGAATGCATGGGTCTCACAGTTATCAGAGACCACGGGTAGTTGTGGGCAGTATCACCAAGGCATTTTCCTCCTCTGTCCTGAACAAGGCTGGTGACCTCACTAAAGGGAAGAGAGGACTGAGGCCCTGGGACCTTAGAGGAACAGCCTCGCTCAACCTCAAGTCTTGTAACTAACCAGGGACTGTAGAGTCTCCAAGAAGCCAGCACTGACTCCTTTGACCCAAGGAAGCCCATAGATGAAACTGACTACACACACCCCCAACATACACTTATAGACCAAGGCCTCATGTCCAACCCTTCCAGTGGCCCACCCTACAGCTAACCCCCACATCCCTCCCATCCTGTCTCCCATCCCCATGCCCCACCCCACAGCCCCCACCTTTGTGCCTGCTCATGTCTATGAGACGGGCAGCCATCCGGGCGGCATTGAGGGCACCCTCAACCACGTCCTCTGGCCGCCCCACAAAAGTGTAGACAGTGCGGTTGGTGGAAGGACCCGCGTCCACATCCAGCAGCACGCAGCCCACGGTCTTGGAGATGGCACTTGAGATGGCCTCGATCACCTGTGGAGCAGAAGCCAGTCTCTACCTCCTCGATTTCCCACTCGGAAAGGGAGACGGAGCTTCTGAGTGGCCGCACCGCACCTCTTCCACACCCCGGAACCTAGCCTAACAGGGTGCTGCTGGGCTTTGGGGGTGCCCCCTAAGGAGTATGTGGTCCCAAAAATGTGTAAGATTATGACCATGAATCCCTGTGAGACCCCATCACAGCTGGGAGGAGGGAAGGAGGAAGTGAGACAGGAAGCAGACCCAGGGACTCCCCACCAGCAGTGCCCAGAGTGGGGCAGCCAGGGCTCTGAGGAGGTGACCAACTGGCTCTAGACCCAGAGGATCCCACTGCCTTCACCCACAATAGTCTTCCAATGGGTGCACCCCTTGAAGATGGGCAGATGGTGTGGGGGGAGGGGCATGAAGGGCTCAGAAATTTGAGGACCACCCAGTGGTTAGAAGAAAGGGCTGAAGACCCAGACACTGCTGTGTGAGGGTTGGAAGATCTGCTTAGCTCCTCTGTGTCTCAGCTTTCTTATTGGTTAAGTGTAGATAATAAATAGCAGTGCCCACTTCATAGGGCTGGGTAGACTCCGTGAGTTAACACTTATGAGGACAGCATGAGCTCTGAACGACCCCTATGTGACCCCTGTTTGATCCTTGAAACAGTCCTTTTGGGTCAGTCTTCCAGTGTCTCGTTTTCAAACAAAAGCAGGCCCCACTCTTGGACCTCCACTTCACCCCACACTGAGCCTGCTTTCCCCTCTGACCACTCTTAATACCTGGGTCCCCCAGACCTTGGGGCCAATGAAAAATGATCCTGTCCCAGGAAAAAACAAGCCCCCAACCCATACCAAAAACTTCCCTTTCTCCTCAGCCCACCTCGTACTGCCCCTTTGCCAGCTATCTGGGCCCCTCACCTCCTGGTTGTTCCCCTCCGAGAAGTTGGGGACACATTCCACCAGCTGGGGCATGATCCAAAACCTAGGTCAGATGGAATTCTCTTCAATGGTGCAGACGGGGTGGGGGGACTTCTGTACTGCTTTGGAACTTTATCCCCCAGCCAGTCCCTCCCCATGGCCGGGTTTCTTATTAACCACCAAATCACAGCTACAGAGGTCAGCCCAGCTTGGCAGACAGAAGCGCGAGCTGGGGGAAGAGGATGAATGTGTTAGTGTGAGGGCATGGTGTTTGTGGTGTGCACGGGGAGGAGAATGTGTGTGTTACAGTGTCTATGAGTGTGCATGTGGGTGTTACTGTGTACATGTAAGACTGTGTAGTGTGCCCTGTAGCTCTGAGTGTGATGTTTGAGTAGCATGTGCCATGTGGGTACTATATGAGCTGTGAATGTACTCTGTGGATGGCGTGTGTATTTTTAGGTGGTGTATGCTGTAAATATGCTGGGGGGTGGGGCAGTGCTCCTGGAGAGACCAATGGGTGAAGAAAGACTCCAGCTCTCCCATTGCTACTCCCCAAGCTCCCACCCAGCAGGGCCAGGTTACAGGTGCTCACAGGTATTACCCACAGGCCCCAGAACTTTTGTAATGCTCTACTGTTGCATGATGACATTCTTCATTAAACTTTTTATTATGAATTGAGTGAAGGTTCACAGAGCACATCATCACTTTTATATTCAACAAATCATGCCAATGATTACAGTTCTTCAGTGCAACAACACTTAGCCCATTTCTTCCCTATGTTTCTTGTTTCCATTCCTCCTTCTTTCTCAACCCTTCTGAATTTTGTCTTTGAGTAAATGCTGCCCTTTTGATCTCAAATGTCTGACCCTTCTTTGCTGTGTGTACCTCACTAACGTTGTTGTCCTCTCACCCTCCATATACCTATATATTGCTAAAAATGGAGCCACGAAAGTGAGTTCAGTTCCAGACCTGAAGGGTGACCAAGGGCCACAGTCTTGGGTTCCACCAGTCTCTATCTGACCAGTAAACATGATCTTTTTTATTATTTTGAGGTTGTTTCACATTTTCTCCCACTCTATCCAGGACCTTCTAATGTGATCTGTTTCAAAGTAGATGGTAGTGGTAGCTGGGCATCAGGTTGGAAGACTAGGAAAGAGCTGTCTCCTTAAATTAGAGTTGACCATGATGACATGAATGGAGTAAAGTTTACAGGACATTAATTTGCTGATGTGACACAATTCAAAATGAGGAGCAACAGCTATAAACATCCATTAATAATTGGAGCATGGAATGTACAAAGCATGAATCTAGGAAAACTGGAAGTTGTCAAATATGAAGTGGAACCCATAATCATTGATATCCAAGGTATTAGTGAGCTGAAATGGACTGGTATTGGTCATTTTGAATCTGACAACCACATGTTTACTATATCAGGAAGGACATATTGAAGAGGAATGGCATCACAGTCATCATCAAAAAGAATATTTTAAGATCTATTTGAAATACAATGCTGCATGGGACAGGGTACTATCCATACACCTACAAAGAAGACCAGTTAATACAACTATTATTGAAATTTACACACCAGCCACTAGAGCGAGGATGAAACTGATGAATTCTACAGCAGTCCTTGTGTGGCACTGTGGGTTAATGCACTGGTCCATAAGGTTGGTTTGAACCATAACGTTGGTGGTTCAAATTACCAAGCACTCCTCATAAACCCTATATAGGGTTACTATGAGTCAGAACCGACTCAATGACACTTAACAACAACAACAAAATAACCAATTTCTTCAGTCTGAAAGTGATCAAACATGCCATCAAGATATATTGATAATTACTGGTGATTGGAATGCAAAGGTAGGAAACAAAGAGGAATCAGTAGTTGGAATATATGGTCTTGATGATGAAATAATGCAGGAGATGATGTGATAGAATTTTGCAAGACCAGTGACATGTTCATTGCAAATACCTTTTTTAAAATAGCATAATAGACAGCTATACACAGGTAAAGAAAACAAAAGTCCACTAGACTAACAATTAACACCAAGACAAATGGAGAAAAGACTGAAATTGTCAAAAACTTAATTTTGCTTGGATCAACCATCAACAGTCATAGAAATAACAGTCAAGAAATTAAGCAGCGTATTGCATTAGGCACATCTGCTGCACAAGATCTCTTCAAAGTGTTCAACAGCAAAGTCATCAGTTTGAAAACTAAGGTGCACCTGACCCGTCAATAACCTCATATGCATGCAAAGTTGTACAGTGAATAAGGAAGACCATAGAAGAAATGATGCATTTGAGTTATAGTATTGTAGGAGAATATTAAAAGTACCATGGACCATCAATAGAACAAACAAATCTATGTTGGAAGAAGTACAGTCAGAATGCTCCTTAGAAACCAGGATGGCCAGACTTTGTCTCTCATACTTCAGATATGATTTCAGGATGGACCAGTCCCTGGAGAAAGACATCATGCTTGATAAAGTGGGAAGGTCAGCAAAAAGGAGGAAGATCCCTAAAGAGATGGAATGGCACCATGGCAGCAGCAATGGACTCCATTGTAGCAACAATTGTAAAGTTGGTACATGACCAGGCAGTGTTTCATTCTATTGTGCATAAAGTCGCTGAGTCAGAGCCGACTCAACAGCACCTAACAACAACAATAGCAACATACTCATGGACCTCACCGGATAGAATACACAGAAACCAAACTGACT